GATCTATGTCTATTTTCATCTAACATATTTTGATTACTGCAACTTGGTTCTGTGGGATAAATTCACTTGGCCAGAATGTATAGTTCCCTCAGTATGCTGCTAAATTTAGTTGGCTGGTATTTTGTTGAGGATATTTGCATCTATATTTATAAGACATATTCATCTATAGTTTTGATTTCTTGTGCTGTCTTTACCTGGATTTGGTAGTAGGGTAAGGTGGCTCATTGAATGAGTTAGGAAGTGTTCTCTCCTCTTTTATTATTTGAAAGAATTTGAGAAGGGATTGTTACTGATTTTTTTTACTATTTGATTGAATTTATAGCGATACTGAAGAATGAAGATCAGAAGGGAAAAATACACAGCCAACAAGCATATGAAAAGATGCTCACTATCATTAGTCATCAAGTAAATGCAAATCAAAAACACAGTGAGTACTACTTCACACCATGAAGATCGCTATAATTTTAAGCAAATGAGCCATCTCGCTATGTGTTTTTTATTGTTTTTGTTGGGAAGTTTTTATTTATTGATTCAATCTCATTAGTTTGTTTTGATTATACATTTCTCCTTGAATCACTTTTGGTATTGTATGTGTTTCTGTGAATTTGTCCATTTCATCTAAGCTACTTAATCCGTATACAAATTTCCATTGTATTTTCTCATAATATTTAAAAATTCTATAAAGTTTGTGGATTTTCTCATAATATTTAAAAAAATTCTCTACTCACAACATGGACTCTGGGATTCTGCAAAAAGCTGCAGCTGATCATTTTTATCAGCTCAGTAGTTGCTTCTGTGAAGGAATGGAGCCCTGGAATTCCTTATTTTGCCATTCTAGTGATATCGGCAGGGGCACTTTTTGGGATGATTCTGCTGCTATATCTTGATATGTCTGTGCATTTAAGAAATTCATTCAGTTATGTATTTTATATCAGTATCTTTCACTCTGTGGAAATTATATTTCACTTCAAAACTGTGTTAAAGAAACCGTTCTGACTGCTTTGTAAAGAGCATGTGGGCAAGGGCCACAGCCAAAGAGGAGGCTATTGGGATTGTTTAGGCCAGAGATGGTGGTAGCTTAGACCCACCACTTGTTAAAAGTGCAAGTATTCTCATTTGAGGATTATTGGATAAAGTTCTACGTTGGCATGAATTTCTCTAAAACTCTTTGCGCTAAACTAGTGCAGGATCTCCTACTGCTAGTGTAAGAACTTTCCAGTAGTGGTTGTAGAGCTGTTGCAGATAGTTTAAACTTTAAAGATGATAATTCATGTAAATTTTAAAGCTGATATTTTAAAAAAATCAGTCAAATTGTCATTTACCTGTTTTAAAAAAGTTGTGCTGTCCCTGGGTGTGTACTGTAAAGTGGTTAATAGCAATTAGCGGATTGTACCCATAACTCCATCACTCAGTTGGTTTATTACCCAGGTAAAGGCTGGGAGTTGACTCTGTTGGTTTGGGCCATCATACAGGCTTTATCAATCATACTGTGTATTCTGAGTTAGAGACCAGCATTTTTACATACAAAAAAAATTTTCCAGGGGATACAAATTTAAATAAATTATTAATAATACTGCACTCCTTGGGGCTGGGGATTTATCTCAGCGGCAAAGCGCCTGCCTGGCAAGTGCAAGGTCGTGAGTTCGGTTCCCGGTACCGGAGAAAAACCAAAAAAAAAAATTAAATAAATAAATAATACTGCACTTCAAAATTATTACCAAAAATCACATAGAAGTTAAAAAATACTTTTAAAAATCAGAGTTGTATTACAGTTTAAAGCGTTCTCAAATCAGAAAAGGTCAAGAAATTCTAACTTTGTCCGTTTAATTTTGAGAAGGAAAAATGTTCCTGTCAAGCAATCAAGCAATCTATAAACAGGAAGACCTTATAGGGTGGGTTTGCCACTCATAAATTTGGCCAAGAACCCAGTGAGCACAAGTAATGCAGAAAGTTTCATACAGAGATGGCATAAGCAAGAATATCACGGGGTCAGCTCCGCCATCCTTAGCTTCATGGGAAGCCATCCTTAGCTCCAGTGGGGCCAGACGAAAGATGACCTGGGCATTGGGTTGCTTCATTATAGAGGAGCTGCTTCCATACTACACCTAAGCAGATCTGCAGCCTGAGATCATACTGTAAAGGAGAAAGCAAGATGGAAAATCTCACCTCTTGCTGGAAGGAGGAAGGTACATGAGAAAAGGCCTCCTAGCAGCCACCCAAAGAGCAGAGAAATTCGGAGGAATAGTCCCCACTAAGCTGCTTCTCTCACTGTGTTCCAGGGAGGATAATTGGGCAGCTGACAAAGACTTAGGTCAGATTTCATTTGAGCCTTGGCTCCGTGGCCGAAGTAGAGATGCACAAGTTGGTCAGGACAACTCATCTCATCTCTTCCCTTCATTGTGTTCCCTTACAATCCAGAATACAGACTGAAAATTAATGGAACTGCCTTTAGCTATATTAATACACAGTAAGGAAAATTTATTTACTTCTGTATGAATTATAAGTAGTATTTAATGGATCCTTGATGAAATTTAGTGTTCTGTAGGAATCCTTCATGGTAAATTGAGATTTGACCACTAGGTGGCGCATGACAAATAATTATCATCCAGTTGGTTAGTACTAAAAAGCTTTTTCTTGAGGGATTAAGACTTGATTATCGTTAATCCCAAAATGTGCATGAATTGTAACTTTGTTTTTGCTATATGCGTGATACTGGGGTTTGACGTAGGGCACTTGCACTAAGATACATCCCCGACTTTTTAAAAAAAAGTAAAAACGTCTAAATTTTGAGACTGGAGCTTGTTAAATTATTAAAATGCCCGGATTGGTCTCGAATTTGTGATCGTCCTGCCTCATTCTCTCCACATGCTGGGACTATAGAAGTGCACCACTAAAAGTGATTTTCACTTTCCATAGAATTATTGTGCAGTAATTATTTCTCTGAAAGTATTTTATTCCTCTACCTTCATTTTTGAAGTACCTAGAACTCTAAGGAAATTTCAAAGAATCAACCAAAAAAAAACAAAAACAAAAACAAAAACAAAAAAAAACGGGCTGGGGGATTTAGTTCAGCGGCACAGCACACGCCTGGCAAGCGCAAGGTCGTGAGTTCGATTCCCGGTACAGGAAAAAAAAACCCAAAACAAAAAAAGAAATTTCAAAGAATTAACACAGTGGACATCTGTATATACTTGATCTAGATTTGCCAATTCTTAGCATGTCTTCATGACATACATTGATTTTAGACATTATGGCCATTTGTTTCCCAGTACTTCAGCATGTGTCTTATGGGACCAAGTCCATCAATCTGCCTTTCATAGCTGTGTTACTTTCTTCCTAGGATCCAATCAATGACCACACATGAAATTCAATTCTCATAGCTTTATAATCTCCTTTAATCTAGAACAGTCTCCCTTTTAAAATATGACAATAATATTTGGCAAGGTATGGGCCAGTTGTTTTTTTAGAATGTTTCAGGATCCGTATTTTTCCCCCAAACAAATGTAATTATTATGTATCACATATTTCCTGATAAAAATGATGCAATGAATGATGTAGTGATTAAGAGCATGAGCTGTAGATAAGAATGGTTAGTAACTCTGTTCTCTACCTAATCCCTGCTATTTCTTCATCTATGCGATGGTGATAAGACTAAGTTCTTCATCGCTTGGTATTTACAAAAGTGCCTGGTATATAATAATTAAGAGCATGAGCTTTAAGTAAGAAAGGTTAGTATCCCTGTTCTCTTACTTAATCCCTGCCGTTTCTTCATCTACGCAATGGTTATAATACTAAGTTCTGCATGGCTTGGTACTTACAAAAGTGACTGGTATATAATAATTGCACAGTAAATGGTACTTATGTTCCTTCTTTTGTTTTAGTATAAAGCATTAAACTGGATTTTCAGATAATTCCTATCGGGTAAAAATTAAATTAATTAATTAAAATATTTTATGTAAAGCATGGATAGTCATTCTGGAATGAATGAATTTGTGAGAATAAAAGCAAACATAAAATCTACACTATAAGTGAAAGTGCACATTATCAATTGAGATGCACAGTTATAATTATATATTAAAATTATGTATTTCCTTCACCTTCTGGGAATTCATTATTTTGGTGGGGGATTGTATAACAATTTTAGTTACCCAATTTTACTTACACAATTTTGTTATCCAACATTGTTGAAAGAGAAAGATGAACAAAATGGGTCTATTTTGCAACCTGTGCAGATTGTCAGATTATGAACTTTCAGAAGGGGAGTGGATTGTATTATATTCACTCTTTTATTCCTGGCAGGCACCATCCTTTGATTGTGGCCAGATTTAACACATCTTTGTGGCATGAATGAATGGTTCTCTCTCTTTGTAATGAAATATAAAAAATTAGCAATTTAAATATTTAAGGGTGCAGTTTGTTTTTTTTTTTTTTTGGTTTTTCTCCGGTACTGGAAACCGAACTCACGACCTTGCGCTTGCCAGGCAGGCGCTTTGCCGCTGAGCTAAATCCCCAGCCCCTAAGGGTGCAGTTTGGTGACATGAAGCACATTCGCATTCCAGAAGAGGTTCACTAACAGCATTGTATCAACCAAGGGGACAAGAACAATCTCTGTTTTTCTCTGTGGAATGTCAGTTGAATCAGAAAATTTCCTCAGGATATCTTGTTACTGAATTTCTCACTTTAGGTATTATTTACATGGGGAAATCATATATTGGGCAACGAAATGGGAATGTTTCTCCTCAGAGACTCAACCTTGTCAGTGTTCTTTGATGCCTAGTAGGACTACTGCAGGAAAAAAAAAATTAGAACGTTGCTAGGAGACGGAAGAGCCAAAAGCCCACGCTCTTGTAGGGGTTCCACAGGAAATCAATGGAATTTAAGTATGTTTGGATCAGAGGTTTACCCATCAAACTATGTCCCCTAATGAGCATGCGCATTTTCACATATAATGCCTTCCACGATGTTCTGATTGAGGCGGATTATTGAGGATAATCTCAAGGCAATTTATTTATTTCCATTGGGCTAATCCCTTCTTCGGAGCACAGCTCCTTTTCAAGTGGCTGCTGCGTTGCGTTGCTGTTTTCCCCCACCCCTTCAGTGCGACTGCCTCAGAGCTGGTGGAGAGACAGAAAGTACGCACGCACCTGGTAAGTAGCCAAGAAAGCCTTCGTAAAATACTTATCGAGGCTCCACTTTTTAAGCCGAGTGACATGTTTTGATGGAATGGAATAATACAGACCTGTGCAGGAATTTCTGGAGGCAGCGGCACTGGGAAGATGGATTCAATTGTAAATATTCCTTGGGTTACTTTTCTAGTTTAAAGCTTGTTTCTTAAATGGTGAGTGAGTTGCTAGCAGGAAATACAGACACTTCCCCTTGTGATTCTGGTAAGATACTTCCTACAATAAGATGTAATGGAGATGTATTGAAAATGAGAAATTGCCTTCAGTTTCATGTTTGGATTAGACGCGAAGAAATGGGTTACAGAGGTTCAAGATGTTCTCAGATCTGCTTTCTTAAGTGAGTGGCATGACAGAAATATGATTTTGCGATGGAGAACAGGATACTGTGCCTCCTCATGCTTCTTGAATTAAGAAAATTGCGTGCCAGAGATATCTGTATGGGAAAGAAAACGAGGAAGAGGGCAGCCTGTAATAATATTAAGAGCGATTGCTACATGTGAGAGATGAACCTGTATTGAACGGGAAATCTTAAAATTAGGCATTAGAATGAAGAAAAAAGAAAAAGAAATAGCAAATATTGTGACTGTACCTTCGTTTGCAAAATTTATTTGTGTTATTGGATATCACTTTATACAGAAAAGACAGTGCTCTTAATGGGTTCTTTTAAGGATGTGAGAAGCATAGCAGATTCCTGTTGACACAGCTTTTATGTGTGTTTCTGAAATATGCTTGGAAATGCTTATTTTTTCATAGGTCAGTTTCTGCAAGAAAAAAGAAAAACAAGGGATGTATTTAAAAAAATTTATTTGGAATTCAGATTGTTTTGACACAAGAGAGCAGAAAACAAAATAAATAGATTTTTGAGTTAGATGACAAAACAGCAATGAAAAAAGAACAATAAGGATGAAAAGGCTTGTTGGAAAGTATACACCATGGGTCACTTCCTAAGTTGAACATGTCTGCTGGTAGCATGTTCTGCAGGGGACAGGGAGAGAGCATGTTAAAGGCAGAGGGTGGGGGCATCAGCAGGGCACTGCAGCAAAGAGAGCGACTGATGCATCTGGGGACATGTGACCACTCTCTGGTGTAGCCAAGAAAAATTTCCAGGACTCCATCTTGTATAAGAAATTGTATACATACCAACATGCAAATAATGCTATAATCTTGCTGCGGAACGTAATGAGTTCTTCTTGCATAATCTTCCATTGGTCTACGTTGGTTTTTAATCTTGCTTTTTATTGTCTTTGTTCCTAGACCTTCTTTTCTGTGCTCCCAGTGATTTTATGATTATTGAAATCTCTTACCAAAAAAGTTCTTTTCCTCTTTATTATCAAAATATACTGTTTGCTGTGGAATATTTGGAAAGGCGTCCAGATGAGTATAAAAATTGCCCCAAATCCCAAACGCCAGAGATAATCACTATAAACATAATTACTATCCGTCTCTTTTCTCTCAACATATGCAAATATATGCATAGGGATATATATTTTGTACGAAAGGAGCATCATATGTACATACCATTTTTATTTGGCCGTATTCATTAAACATATATTAGAAGGAATTCCTCATATGTTAAAATACTCCATAAGAATGAAATTATTTTGGATGCATAATTTTTTATCGAATCTCACTAAATGTCCTATTATTGAATGCATATATGTGCAGTTTTTGATGTTATAAATAATCTAACAAATACCTTTCCATATAAATCTCTGTATGCTTTTTTGTTTTTTTTTTCCCCCAGGATAAATTCGTAGACGTGGAATTCATGGATCAAATGGTATGAACCATTTTAAGGTTTCTCCCCCAGACCCAAGACATATCGCCTAATTTTTTATCATCTTTGGGAACAACATTATTTTCTAATCATTACTTGCCTATTGATGTTCATCATTGATGGTGGTGATGTTTTGGGCATTTTGAAGCTTTATATTTTTAGATATCTACATATGTCAGCTGTTGATTTTGTGATTTTTTTCCTTTGAAATATTTACCTATATACGGATTCATCTGTATTTCCCCCCACTAACGTCATTCTTTCATTTGTAATTGATTTCTTAATGCAGCTAAAATTGATTTTGATGTGTGATGCAAAGTAGGATCTAATTTTGTTTTTTTTCTAAATAGGTCACCAATTGTTTGAGCATTACTTATTGAATAATTCAAGCTTTCCTCTTCCACTGATTTGAAACGGCAACAGCTGTTCTCCCATTAGCTAGGGTGTAGCTTTCCACAGGTCAGCCATTTTCTCTCTACCCAAAATGGTTACATTCCACAATCATACTCTTACCTTCTGGCAGCATCTGGCAGCATCCGGCAGCATGCTAAAGCATCATGTTTGTGCCTCTGCCTTTCAGGAGTCCTAGGCCTGTACAGTCAAATATAGTGGTTTTCAAACACGAATTTTATTTGAAATATTTGAAATGCTTTTTTTTGTCACTTTTTTACAAATTAAAATTGAGAAACTGACTATAGAAAACCATTGTTCCACATGTGGTATTCCTTTTGGACACAAGTAAGGGCCCAGCTTTTTGTTTAAAAGGGGACTAGTGGCCATCCTAGGGCTCCTCTTTCAACCTCTTTTCTTTATTCCTCAGGTACTTGCAGAGTTAAAGCTGTCTGGATTCAGTTCCTGGAATTTTCTAGAATGGTATAACAGGAAAATGTAAGAAATGTATGAGGAGCAGAAATAAACGTGTTTGCCAGGCTGTTGCTGACAGTAGTCTGATCTAGAGATTGAGGGTGAGTCCCAATCTAATCTGTCACTCTTACCATCTCTTTGAGATAGAGGAAACACCCCAATGGTCCCACTCTTTCTGCTGTGGATGGGAGGCTGAAGACATAAAACAGACTCTTTCAGTAGGAGATGGGTTAAGTACTGTGTACAGAAATATTTGACACTGTTTTTAAACATCACCTACCACGCCTGCTGAGCCCCTGCCTGAAACACTGCCTTCTTTTCCTATTGACTTCTGACCCTGGCCTCTGGCATTTACTGATGGTATAATCAAAGGTCAGAGGGATGAGGGAGACACTTCCTCACCCACTGTTACTTCAAGGCATCCCTCTGACCCAGAGGCACAGCCCTAGTCATTTCCCAACTTGCCTCATTAGTTCTTATTTGTTTATGACTGGAGGCTTGTTTCCCAGGCAACGGAGCTCACCAGAGCATGTTCACTTGCTCCTCTGTGGTAGCAAAATGTGGATGAGAGGCCAGGAGTGGGGTCTGGGGGGCCTGGCGGTGGTGGAAGGAGTTATTCTGCAGGTATGATATCAGTTTTTCTGTACAGTACTAAACTGCCATCGTTATTGTGTTAAAATGCCCTCTGAAGGCTTTGAGCCTCTTGGTATTTCTTCTTCCCTAATCAACTGAACTTAATGTTTTCTGCCACTCATCACAAATTCTTTCTAAGGTGAGGCCCTCTCACGTTGGAAACGAGGGGATCTCGGGGCACCAAAGGGATCCATACAACATGGGGAAAGGAAACAAGATCACCTAGTTTCAAACCTCCACCACTTGTTGGTTGCGTGATCAGGAGACAGTTATTCTCTGCCTCAGTTTCCACAGATGAGCAATGAGAGGAGTAGTGGCACCTTTAAAATAGGGTCAGGTGTTTAGTAACCATTAAAAAAAGTGTTGTCTATTGTTATTTTTAGATTTTAAGGGAGACTTACCTGGAGAAAAGACTCGCGCCAGCAGTGTACAACTCACCCTTTAGTGCCCACACTGGTCAAATAATATAAACATGCATTTGCACCTCCAGCCACAGACCTGGTACACAGACTTTCCCTAAACCACACAGACACACCTCAAGGCGTGGCCATAAGCGTCCCAGCAAGAGACTTGCCCCATAGTACGAGGACACGTCCCACATCACTAGATTCTTCCCGAGGCACACAGTTTTGCTTCAACACAGAGACCCACCTAAGGGGCACTGAACTTCCCCACAGGACAGAAATGCCCTGCACAGACAATCCCAGCATCACAGATTGTCTTCATATCAGTCAGGCTCTTCCTAGGACACGAAGACGTACAAATGCATGACGTAGAACACAATCTTTCCACAGCCTGCAGATACTCCCCATAGCACAAAAATATTGCCACAGAACACAGACTGTCTGCAGCACAAAGACTCTCTAGAGCACACAGGCCTGTTCACAGATCACAGACTCATGACACAGCTCGAAGAGCCACGCCATGACACAAGGGCTCTGTTGCAACAGACAGACTCACCACGTGGTGAAAGACGCTGACCACCCCACCAGGACACAGGCTCACTTGCGCTACACAGCCACCCTCCGTGTCGTGTACACCATGCAGAGTCTCCCCAGGAAACACAGGCTGAAGCCACAGTACACAGTCCCCACACACTCAGAGTTTAGTCCACTGCACAGGGACGCAGGTGTGCGTCCTGCAGCACGCACATAGCGCGATGCACAGGATTGCGTTGCAGCCCACAGATGGCCCTCCGGTACACTAGCTCACTCCACAGCAAACACAATGACCATGTAATGAAAACACTTCACAGGCCTTCTTATCGCATAACATCTACCCCCCCCCAAATTCACCCTCACAACGCACACCGCGACCCGTTGTCACCAGAACACAGCCGTAATAAATGGACATGCACCACCGTGCAGAGCACAACACTGCAGCATGCACACGGGCCACTACCACGGACAAACATGTTCCGCCACAGATGTGTATGCTGCAGGAGCATCTCACAGTCCACCTTTCCCTCGCTCCTCCTGTGGCATCCACACAGCTTCCACCGTGGGAATCATCCTGACACACGACACCCCAGCCGCACAGTGCTCAGAATGATGGAACGGCATGCGCCTGCTGTCCAACTTTGTTTCCTCAAACCCACACTGCTTACACAGTGTGAACACATGCTCCCCAACACCTACAACCATTTGCCATGTGCTGCTCAAATTTACCAGAAAGCACCTGCACTGTTTTCACTGCTTGCACTTCTGCCCAGAGTGCAAGCTGTGTGCAGAACTGCACCAAAATGCAGCTGCTCCCAGTGATATACCTACTTTGCTCACAACTCACAAGTACACTGTTGCACACAAAGATGCACCCTACATGTGCAGGACACGCACTCATACCACAGCAGTTAGACTTGCCCTAAAGTCACACTCACAATACTTAGACATGCCTTAAAGTTCACAAGCATGCCTTTGAACACAGAGATTGATTGCACAAGTTACAGAATTGCCTCACAACACAGTCCTAGTCTAGAGCACAAAACCTACAATGTACATAAACATTTCCCACTGTGTAGATCGCAGGACATATTACCCTCCTTTGCAAAGATTTCCGTTTGAGCACACAGACATGCATTACCATACTGTTGAGCTACAAGTCTGGCATACAGCAGAGATACGGCTTTTGCAATGGTTTAGAGCAAGGCCTCTGGACCCAGACCACCTGGGTTTGAATCCAGATACCGTCCCTTGCTAAATGTATCACCATGGGTAAGTATATTTCTTTGTTCTTTAGTTTACTCATCTGTAAAACAAAGATAACATTAGTACTTATTTCAGAGGCTTACTGTGCATAATAAATGAATTAAGGTATGTTAAGTGTTTAGTACAGTGCTGGATACATGAGAAGTGTTGTCGGACATGTTAATTTATATTATAATCATACCCCTGCCCTCTACCCCCATTTCTACTAACACAAAAAAGCCTATCCCTAATGCCTACCATCATCTGGCAACACAAATATTTATTGCATAATATACAAACTAACTCCAGAACATCTAGAAACACTCTACTAAACACAGACACCCCACCATAATGCTCACAAATCCTACAGAGCATAGAGACCTGAACTTACCACTATTCATAATGTACAGAAGTGCACTGAGATTAAGCAATCTGCTGTACAACATACAGATTCATTCTATGATGTGCAGACCATCTCACAACATGTAGAGTGGACACACAGCACCCTGCCCCACTCCACAAGGCAAAGACCCACAACTCAGCACACATACATGTGCTGTGAACTCAGAGGTATGTCCTGTACCACCCAAACACATTGTCCTACACACAGATTTTGTCCCATAATGTGGATTCCCCTACTGTTCACAAACACACTTCTAAATGTGCACTATCACCTCACAACATAAGTAACAAACTCATCCCACAATATGCAGACTTGTGTTAAAATACCCGGACTCACACCAAGCAAAGGCAGGCTCATGGTACAAAAACTCATGTCACAACTGTCAGACTGGAACAAGGGAGAGGTTGGCTTCAACCTCTCTAGGCACAATGTAGTTGGCCCGTGATGTGTGGTCCCTCTCTGTGGTGTGAAGCATATAGTCAGAGCTCCAGCTGCCTGGGCTCGAATCTCACATACGTCATTACAAATTTTATGACCTTGTAAAGGTCTTTTGATCTCTTACCTATAAATGAGGGATAATAAAAGTACTCATGCTCCATACAACTAGTAAGAAAAATAAATGTGCTGAGATCTATAACACGTTTAGAAAAGCGCCTGGTAAAGAATTAGTGTTACTGATGTTAGCTGATCTTGTTATTGTTATAGTTGTTGTTACTGCGCAAGGAAATGGAACATAATGGTAAGACTCAGCCTGAAACAATTAGACACAAACTATTATATACTGACAATCCCTTATAAGGCCCCAAATCACATCACAGCCCACTGTCTCACTATTCTTTCCATTCAATGCCTAGATTGGCTGCACTTAGCCCATAACACCTTCGAGCTTCTCCCACAGTGTCTGCATAACGCCTAGACTCATCACATAACACCTAGATGCAGGCTACACTGTGCAGATACAACCTTCATATAGAAACATGTCCATAGGAAACTCCTCCCAGTTCGGGTGAAAGCTTCCTGTCATTTACATATGTGCTCCACAGTATATGACGCGTACATTGTGTGTGTTTGAATAAAAACTGTGTATTTGAATAAAACATAAAATAAAAACCACATTGCTATGAATCTGCTCACTTCAAACCCACTTAGCCCATCCTTCTTGTCACTTTCTGAAATGGTCACAGAAGTCCTCTTTTGTGAGTGATTATCTTTAGTTGTCCTGGCATAGCTGCCTTCATGGCCCTAATTAATTTAAAAATTTACCTTTCATGGTCATTTTGACTTTAGAGAAAAGGTAGATGTCTAAGGGTGCCACATTTGCTGAATAAGGCAGATGAGGACATGCAGCAATTTTTTTTTTTTTACAAGCCTGCTTTTCTGTTGCATGGCACTCAGTAGCAGGACTTCACTGTGTTTTTAAAATCACAGCTCATAAAGACATTTGTACATGCTCATCCCAGAACATCACATTAGCTCCCCAATATGAAGAATTTACTTCAAAAGTCCTAGAAACAATCTGCAACACATAGACTTTTCCAAAGTAGGGAATAATAACACACAAACTTCACTACAGTAACCAGATTGGCTTTACAACACACAGAAATGGGACATGACCCATAGCACATAGATTTTTCCCTATGACATACATATTTGTCCAACAAAACATTGTCCTGGCTATAGAAGACCAGGATTTACCTCCTGAATACAGACTTGTTCACACACATTAACACATTAGACATCTCATGATGCACATATATAACTCATAACACACACATACACACGCACACACTTGCTCCAGTACACATAGACACATCCCACATCATAGCAGTTTGACTCACAACTGCCAGAAGCACCCCACAACATATAACAGGAGCCACAATTCCACAGTCCATCCCTGTCACTCACAGATTCATCACAGAAATTAATTTCCTGTTACAACTCAGAGCAGCATGTCCACAAAGGATGTGCTGAAACATAGAAAAACATACAGAGCACACAGAAAAGCACAATGCACAGGTGTATTCTTTAACCACCCAGATTCACTTCACATCATGCAGACTCAACCCCAAAACCACACTAACGCACCAGTTAGTGGCCATTCTGCACAGTACCTAGATAAAACCATAACACAGAGATCTGCCTCACAATCTGTGCACTTCCACAGACTGCCATCAATACACGGATTGGCTCTACAAAACACTTCCTTGTCTCTATGAAACCTAGGCTAGTGTAGAAGAAATGTTGAAAATGCACCTAGAACTGAAGGCAAAAGAGATATTCCACTTTGACCAGCCTTGCCCCATACTGCCCAGACACTCTGAAGTACAGAGATTCATCCTGCCATATGCAGGATGGCCCATCATCACCAAGAGAAACTCTACAACACCCAAGCAGGAACCACAATATACAGATGTGCCCTCACATTCTTCCCACAAAGTAGTGATTGATCTCACAAGATGTCTTCTTCCATAGCACCAACACCTTCAAGCATATATAAATGTTAGACAACAGGCACTGTGCGAGTGGAGAGATGCATTACAATACTAAGACTTGCTGTAAGACATTCATGCATGTCCCTGACCAAACAAAATCACCCCATGATCCTTAGGCCTTCCCCAGAATACATGCACATTTCTCCACAATGCACATAATCCCCAGACAACATAGACTAGTTGCGAAAAACATAAGTTTTTGATTCCATAGCAACAAGATTTAGCTGTGAGCATACAGAAATGCTGAGAAATAAACATAAATCTGGATGCATAGATATGCCATCAATTCCCAAAGTCACTCTGTAACACTCAGTCTCACCAGTGAGACCCAGAGAGTCACTTTAAGTTACTCAGATGAACACATGAGATCCGGGCCTATTCCTAAAGCCTTGTTTGCCCCATGGCACCCAAAATTATTTTGCAGTAGACAAACTGACCTGTGTTAGTCCATCCTGTCCCATAACAGGTAGTCTGGCATGGAAAGAAAAGACTATCTGCACAACACATAGAGTGTTTGCTTGTCTCCACAGTTCTTAGACTTTTCCTCATAGCACAAATAAATGTTGGAAAATGGGCTCAACCTGCAACACTAAGATATGTTCCCTTAACACTCAGATTGGCCAAACGACACCCAGGATAGCTATACAAAACTCCCGAATGCAACACGACAAGCACACATTCCTTGCAACACCGGGGCATACCTTACACCACATGGTATGCTCCATAACGTACAAAGTTGCCTGGTGACATAGACTGATTCCATAGTTACTTGCCTTATCAACATTAAGACATGGCTTAGAACACATACAAATTGTGAGTAACACACAGAAAAATCCCTCAGGCACAGATATATCCCCCAATACCTAGACTCACATTCACCACTGCTAGCTAGATTCACCACCAAATGCTTACACCTACTCTACAATACCTCCTTGTCTCACAAAGCCAGAAACACCATCTGTTACTTTCCTGGCAACCCAGGTTTGATCCACAGCACACAGTAACGATGCACAGCCAAAAGTGTCCACGTAGTCCACAGACTGGCCAGACAGCCCCTTCTTTTCCCCTTCACAATGTCAAGACTTGCTTGATAGCACAAAGAAACAGTGGACAAAACACAGAAAGCTGTCGAATGCACTGGTGTCCTTTATAATGCCCAGACTCACCCTCTAAGACTGATCCAACAACACAGAGATGATATCCACAACGGATGTCTTCCAAAATCTATTGAACTCACAACATGCAGACTACTCTCATCAACACCTCTTTTTTTTTCTGACTCTGCAGCACATGAGTATCACAGAACAGAGAGATACTGGGCAGCACACGTGCAGTTAAACATAAGTCACAAACATAAGTCACACACAGCATTCCTCATCCAGATTTGTTACATGATGACAGAACTTACTCCCTGACACATAGATCTACAGCACAACACCAGACTAGTTCTATGAAATCACTTCTTGCTTGTACAATACCGAGATTTGTTTTGCAGCACAAGTCTGGAGTGCTAGAGAACACTGAGACAAAGCCCTGACACATAAATATCACCCAGATTCCTTTTACAACATCCTGACTTGCCACAGAGCATCGAAGCTTCCACTACTTCCAAGGCCCAGACTCACCAGATTGGCTCTATAGCACAATTACATTCTCCATAACATACTCTCAGCACATGACAGATTGGCCTTTCAAAAATCTTCCTTTTGCAAAACAAATATTTTCCTCTGATCTGACAGAAAACTTGAACAGCATACAGATTAAAAACTCCACATTACACATATATACTATACGCATCTATATCCCCTCTACAGGACAGACTCAGTAATACACAAATCTACCTCCATGACATCTGTCCTCACCCCCTGACACCCAGAATCATCCCCCAAACCTAGATTCACTCCACAGCATTTAATCTAGCCCCATAAAACCCATACTGATCTCATAATACCAGAAAGACCTCTTGTCACTCAGTCTAGCCTTGCAGCAGCCAGGTGTGCCCTGCAGTGTAAACTAGCCCCACAGCTCATAAACATATCTCACCTGCAGCACACTTTCTCCCGAACTCAGAAACGTGCCAGGCAGGACCTCGTGCCACCCTGACGCAAAACTTGGCTCACAGCACACCGCATTGAAGAGAAGCAGCAGAATCGCACTTTGCATAGGTAGATCCCAGTCCTCACTTCAGAGTGTGGAAACTCACAGCGCAAGACCCCTAGTGATCCAGTGGTGGCTGGACGTGTCCCACCATACACAGAAATGCCCCCAACGACTCAGGCTGTCTCTACCATGTAGCTGTTGACCCAACAAAATATGTCCCCCCCTGCAAAACACTCACACTTATAGCACATAGAAATGCTCAAGCACACAAATAAAGCCTACACTGTCCAAATATGCTCCATTATTTGAGGGCTTGGTGCAAAATATGCATACTTACTGCACAACTCACAGACTTGGCACATGAGTGCATCCTCATGCTCAGTCACCAAGATTAACCTAAGCAGCACACAGGCATCCCAACTGGCCCCCACTCCCAGGCCCACTCTGTGAAACAGCTACTTAGCCTTCTCTACATCAAAGCTTGCAAAGCACAAAAGGGATCTAGAACACATTTAAGTCACATAACACAGAGACATACTCATGGCACTTAGAGTTAACACCCAGATTCCCACTATGACACTCAGATTCACTCACTAGCATGGTTTAATCTGCAACACACAGACGTGACCCAAAGTAAGTGACACTCAACAACTCACGGACATGCTTTATAACATAGGGCCGTGCTGCACAATTCACAGACTTTTCCCACAATGCTAACACTTGACTTACAATGCAAAGAAATTCTATATCATACACAGCTAAATAAAAGAAACAAACACACAGCTCCCAGACTTGCCAGACAGTATTGACACTTGCCTTGTTTCACACGTATTTGCCCTTAAATAAAATTCAGATTGGCTCCAGAATATACAAACCTACCCGTACTCCACAACAAACAGGCATGTCCTAATATACACACGTTCTATATAACATAGAACAACCTCACAGAATTACACCATAATGAAAAGTTAAAACTAATAATTCACAGATCTATCCCATAGAACAAAGATCCACTCCCACGTACACTTACCATACAATTCCCACATTTGCACCAAACGTTTGCACTCAGTTCACATGATCTCACCCCAGAACATGCATTTGCCCTCTCAAGGTCAATTCATAACTCACATGTGTCCCATAATACCCAGCCACACTTTGCAATGTAGAGATTACACTCATAACTTAGACACACTTCTGAATAGCACAGAGAATTCTATAACACTAAAAGTTGTCCCTACAATATCCAATCCCACATTACATCACCACAAATTTTCACCAAACATGCACTCAATCCAAAAGCATGGCTTCTCCCACAACTCCTGTGTGCATCTCTCTGTGCATGGATATGCTACATAAGGTAGAGTCCTCAGAAAAAACACAGCATTGCATAGCAGCTTATAAATATGTCTCAGATCACACACTTGTAAGGAATGGACCCAGAATATGCAGTTACTTCTTCAAACCCATTGACTTGCCCCTTTGCTCCTGTGCCCTGCCAGTATAGTCTTGTCTAGTAGCTCTACAGTACACCATCGTAAAGAGTTTTCCCCATGATTCATGGACTTTATCCAGTCTTCAAATTCATCGTACAACAGACAAACTCACCCCATACACGGCATTTTCCTACAATACACAGACTCGTCTTCAAAGCATGGGATTGCCTAATAATGTTCCATAACCACCAGATATGATCCCAAACACATAGATATGTACCACAACACCAAGCAATACTCCATAACATTCATATGAGCCCCACGATGCCTGGGTACTTCCATAACTTCCACACTAACCACTCAATAGCTAGACCAACTTACTATGTCACACATACTTCATGACACAAGACTCCTCACACATCCTGTAGGAGCCCCCTTCACAATCTACAACTGTACTTCACAAAGAAAACTTCACAAAATGCCAAGATGTGCTCCAGAACATATCCAATATTACCACAACCCTGAAGTTTGCCTCAAAAGTCAGTCTTGAACCAGAGTACCACAAAAATGCCTCCCAAATGCCTTCACTGAGTCTGCAGTAAAAAGACAACTCTACCATGCTGAGACCCACCTCCTAACACCAAGAGATGACCCTATAACTCACAGGTAAGTTTCACAGTGCAGACGTCTCTGTATCATGCACAGCCTCACTCTACAATGTAGGATTATCCTGCTGCAGTTCCTAAGTATCTAGCCTCTCCACAAATTATCTTGCCACTCACGCCAAGGTATGTCTTACATAATGCACAAAATAACTCCACAATGCATAGATACCACTTATAACGGACAGATTTATCCAGTGACAGAAAGACTTCCTCAAAAACAAAATTACATTCTCATGCACAGATGCACCTCAGATTTCTACACTCTGTGATACAAATACCCCACCAAGAAAACACATGCCCCTCCACACACAGGACTGTTGCAGGACTCACAAGCATGGCTCCCAGAATCAAGAGCCTATATTGCACAGGTACACTCCTTCCCAGGCATGTCTTTTAAAGCACAACCTCACCCACAAGGCACTCTTCACATGCTCCCTCGATCCAGTATCTGGGACACGAACCCCAGAACACTGTGACAGATACTCCCATAAAATGATGCATAGGCAGTGCACAAATGTCTTGAAAATTCACAGATACTCTGCAGAGTTGCAGAATTGCCACATCATTTACACACTTTCTCTCACATGCAGACACATCTCAAAATGCCTTGCCTCAAATCACAACATAAAGACTCAGCCCATATTGTTCTCCCCACAATGCACTGGCATGTTCTGTAACACTCCAGATTCTCCTACAACACGCAGAATATTACCACAACCTCACAGTGCCACACATCTATATAGGACCTATAATACACAAAAAAAGCACACGGAAACAATATACAACAAGCCTCAAAATGTACAGACTTGCTCCACAACAGTGACACACCCTATGCTGCACAAACATACCCTACCACACGACCTTGCTGACAAACCATCACCCAACCACCCAAAGATCCACAACTCAGGACACACTCAATTACACATTGGTGTACCCCACAGCATAAAGAATTGCACCTTAATCAGAGTAGACATATAGTACAGAGTGGTCCTACAACACAAACACAAACTCTGTTATACCCTAGACTTGTGCCCGTTCTCGCAAACTCTCTTTATAGCACTTATACCCCATTCCATCTAGAATCAGTCTACATCATACAGATTTTCCACATGATACACAGAATTTGATTACAACCTCTAGAAATGCTGTACTATGTTCATGCAGATCTCATACCTGATGGACTTCAACACCACCTCTGGCCTCGATGCAAAAATTTACATGAATTCTCAGCAAAATACTCTAAAATCCAAAGGTTTTACATATGACATAGAAACCTATTATAGAATCTCTGGAATCAACCCAGGAAGCAACGTCACCCTATGACTCCATGATATATCTCACAATACACAGACTTCAATGTACAGACCACAACATCTTGACCTGCCCTATAATGTGAGGGCATTTCCATAGTCCATGACTTCTCTGGCAGAGCACATGGGTACATTTAAAAATTGACAGTCATAAATGTATAGCCTAGAAAAATAGTATAATTTGATTACCATAGAGCGTTCAGTTATTTCATGAGCCTATTACATCACCTTCTCAACCGTGTATTGATTTGCTCCTCAGAATGTGAAAAGAGGACCCACATACTCACACAGAGCTGGTGAGTGACTTCACTTTTTTGAATCTTTTTACCTGTTTGTAAATATGAATGAAAAAAGCTGCCTTCTAGGCTAGTTTAATGATGAAATAAGATCCGTTTTATAATGAAGCAAGATTCAGAATACAGCCTATGGAGATGAACATGCCAGCTTCCAATCATGGCTTCACTATTTGCAGGTGAATGCTGCTCTTGAGTGTCATCCAGCGCAGGCTAGTGAAATCATAGCAGTGTGTCCTCATCCACCTTACTCACCGGATCTGCCCCCAGATCAGAATGATCATGAAAGGCAAATGTGTTGAATTGATTCAGGATATTGAAGCAGCCACACTAGTGCAACTAAAGACATGAAAGAGAACTTCCAGAACTGCTTCATAAAGTGGAAAGAATGGTGAGATAAGTGTGTTCAAAGTGAAGGAGTATATTTTGAGGGGACTAACAGCAATATGTTTTTGCTGTAATAAATTTTTTTTGCTACCAGGAATCGAACTCAGGACCTTAGGCTTACCAGGCAAGGGCTTGTCACTGAGCTACATCCCCAGCCCTGTAATAAATTTTTAAAGTTTAGATTTTCACTGTTTTGTTGGCCACATTGCATATATTTAGAGAAATGTGGGTGATTAAGGAGAAAGAAACATTTGGTATAGATACATACATATGCAGGTATACTTTGTCAAAAGCATTCATCTATATATTGACATCTAGACACAGATCCGAAGATCCAAGCAAAGGCATACACAGCATGCATGTCCGTACTCTCACACTGACTCACTTGTCCACAAAAGGTGAGCACCAAGTTACATGAGTGTCCAGAAATATGAATTTGCAGAAATACAAGCAGGTATATAGAGAAAGGGATGTACACACACTCATGCACGTATACGCTCACACCTTGGTAGACCCAGAAAATTGCTGTGATGCTTGCTTGTGTAGATGCTTGTAGAAATATATACACAGATCTGTAAACATGAAGAATACTGCCTGGGTGTACAGATATACACGGATCTCCCTAAGCATATACCTATACAAATACTGAGATGCACAGGTCTACACAAAAGCATATATATCTACTTGTCTATGCTTACAGAAATGTATGCAGTATGCTTAAAGAGAAAGGCATACCTTCACTGGCATACATTTGTGCAGACAGTTGTGTGTAGAATAGTATGTATACATGCAAAAATAGATGAGCATGCATGCTACATAGTTGTGCACAAACACAGGAACGGATATAGCTATAAATCTACCACAGGTGTGCTGAATTCCCGTGCATAATGAGTTCTTAAACACACTACATAAGCATCTATGCATAGACACAAAAATGCGGTCACTCAGACTCATACAAAGACATTAATTTACACACAGATTTCTATTCAGACACACATGACTCTGAAGACATGCTGACGGTCACATAGAAATGCACATGAAAACAGAGGTGAATGAACACATGAATAAACACTGAGATGTACATATGTGAATACAGAACATTTGTGGTGAACCTATGGCATCCATGCCATAACGAGCTGTTTGTTATCATTGAGAGCTCTGAAAGGTTTGCCATCACTGATATAGAAGGTTCCAGCATTATAGGAAATAATGTGAAGGTCCAGACATACAAATGCACACCAAGATACATGGGCCTGTACATATTATGTACACAGAGATACACAGCTATGCAGTGGTTACACAGATGAACATTTGTAACCAGTAAACATGAGCACTGAACATGTCCGAACAGACACAGATGCTATCCTATAGGCATGAATGCGCACAGAGATAAATACAGGGGGGCACAGGTACAGTCCTACACACACCTTTACATGTGTACCTACTCACTTGGATGATGATACGTTTGAAAACTTGCTCACAAGCACATGCACACCGGGCTCTATAATTGCACTCGAATAGACACTTTAATGCATGTGCAGATGTACACTTAGGTGCAATGTATTCTCCCACAGAAATGAGGCAGACCACATCCTAAGCATATAAAAGTAAGAGGCATATACATATATCTACAGATAATACATACATAAAAGTAGTAAGAACGTACATATGCACATACAGACATCTGCAAATATACAAATGCACAAGTGTACAGCCAGGCATACACACACATTGGCACACACAATCTATAAATGTGCTTCTGTGCTTATAATGGTGTACAAGTTCTAAATGAACATCAAATGTATGAATGAACATATAGACACATATGTGCCAACATAGGTATATAGTGCATACAGGTCTTAATCATACTAAAAACAGAAACACAGATTTACATGTACAGACAGATACACATGCAGATTTATGCGTATGAAAACACAGATGACCAAGTGCATATAAAAGGAGACATAAATATTTTTAAAGCAGGCTGTGACTTCTAATGTGCTTTTATCTTAGCCTCTTGGGAGAGTGAAAATTATTAAGTTCCGTCAGCTGACTATACTGTATAAAGTACACATGGGAATTACTGAAAGGATTTCTAAAAGATCTTGAGAGCACATGTTTGTACACACACATACATGCACAAAATCAGAGTCATAGATCACATGGAAACTCAGAAATGTAAATATGTGCATAGCCTAATACAGAAAGACCCATACATATACACGCATCCCACTGGAATATCACACTGTAGCAGATGCGTAGCTATTGAAGTTAAACACAAAACAAAGACCTACATTTTCATTCCAGCTTTATCACTTAGTAGCTCAATAAATTGGGGCAATTTTATTGTTCTCTCATCTGTAATGTGGGAGTAATCATCGCACCTATCTTTCAAACTCATTTGTAGATTCAGTGAAATGAAGTGCTGACCCCAGTGCTTGGAATGTCATAGATTGTTCTGCTGTTGCTGTCACAGTATATTTATTTTTGCTAGAGACAAACTGCTTAGCTAGGTAGGGTTTGATTTTTATGGTAAAAAATGAAAATGCCTGTGTTATAGAGACATTAACTTTATTTTCAAATGTACCAATAAGAAATAAGTTGTTGCTGTATTATTATTAAATAACAGATTCTATTCACAAACAAGGACATGTTGAAGTTCTCAGAAAGGATGGTAACTACTGTCCTTGGCGAATAGGAAGACCTGAAACAAATATTTTCTGTTATTGTTGTTACTGTCATTAGTACTCTTTTCCTTTTTGTAGGAGGAGCTCGAAGATAAAGAATATGGAGTAGGAGGAAGAGGGCTTCGCGCCCAGTGCGCATTGCCATCTAGTGACCATGTTGAGTAAGTACAGTATTTGTGGTTGATTCAGACTCTGGAATTTGACCCATTACAAGGTTGCATAACTGTCCTGGAGAATAAGCTAGTATATATCACGTTATCGTAGTTTTCTCTATATCCTGAAGTAAGTTAGCAATAAAATGAAATTTTATTTCCAAATTCCATCCCTTCTTCCCCAGATTTGCTCCTGGGCTTCACTGAGACAATTTTTGATAGCAACAGTCTTCACACTTCCTCAGAATTTTGCCATCGAAAGTCACTTTGCAAAGTGATTTACCATGCCACACGCATGCTTTGACGTTAACAGCAGAAATTTATTATGAGTTTAAATACTTGCTTTTTTAATGTCTAGCATACTGTAAATAGTGACACTTTTGATAAAATGATTTAATCACGTTTGGCATTATTAACTGAAATAAAAGTATCATACTAATTTGATACTCATAGTTAATTTAAAAGAAAAAAGCAATGAACAAGGTTTTTTTTTTTTTTTTTTTTTTTGGTTTTGGTTTTTCTCTGGTACCGGGAACCGAACTCACGACCTTGCGCTTGCCAGGCAGGCGCTTTTGCCGCTGAGCTAAATCCCCAGACCCTATGAACAAGGTTTTAAGCAGTCAGAAATTTTACGTGATTTTTCTACTTCCTTGAAATAATCATTCCATTAAACCTTTTCACATAATTGATTTTGATGTAATATACTTTTATGTTTAAAGGCCTTTTTTTTGTTTTTGTTTTTTTTTTTGTTTTTCTCCGGTACCGGGAACCGAACTAATGACCTTGCGCTTGCCAGGCAGGCGCTTTTGCCGCTGAGCTAAATCCCCAGCCCCTTTGTTTTTTTTTTGTTTTTTTTTTTTAATGGCCTTTTATTGATCATCTTAGCACACATCTCTCCAGAAAGTATAAAGTGATTGAAGTAAATTCTGCCATGATTATAAGCCTCAAGTATTAAAATTTTATCGTTCAATTATTAGTAGTATACAGCTGATAAGAAGCTCAAAATATCATACATTTTGGTAAGTAATTAGTAAACTGAAAAGTAGATTTGATTTGTAATGCATTTTTCAAGTGAATTTAACTTTGTTCTTCGCCAATATTCTTTCTTTTTTCTTTCTTCCTCTCTATTTTGTACTGGGGAATTGAACCAAGGTCTTGTGAATGTTAGGTAATACTTTGCACCAGGCTATATCACCAGCCATTTTAAATTTTACTTTGAGATGTGGTCTTGCTGCTTGTCTATGCTGGCCTCAAAATTGTGATTCTCCTGCCTCACCCTCCTGAATATCTGGGATTTTACCTGGTACCACATCCATCTTATTTTTCAGTTTTATGGATTTAAGAACTCAGATAACTTTGTTCCTGTCAATAGTAAAACGCAATGAAATGATTGTCCAAATCACAGGTCAAAAGTCATACAGAAATCTACCATCAAAAATAGTTTAATGATTTAAAATAACTTTCATGAAAAGTTTTAATTTTTAACAGATCACTAGACTATGTCTGTCTTTAATCCCCAAAAAACAAAGTAACCCAATAATTTACTAAAGAAACTTTTTCTCAGCCATTTCCTTTTTCAGTTTCTGATAAGTCTACCAAAATAGCTTTAGTGAGATTTGTCAAATTACTATTATATTTGTTATAATTTCATTTTGAGGCATTTTAAATGCATTATCCATGCAAATGTTTGGTTAGATCAAAATATTTATATCAATATGTCTTTGCCAATACAGTAATTTGATAAAATATTTAAATTTATAGCCTTTAAATATACAAACTTGAGACTGTAGAATTGAATCAACAATTTATCGGAAAATATTTATAGTACAGTATAATTGGTAAAGGCAATGTGCATGTCAAAATAATGAACTAAATCAGTTTTAGTTTTAGAAAAACTGTCTGACTTCATTCTTCAATGAAAAAGTATTAATATGTATTTTGATTATCATTAATAAAACCATAGAGTAATCAATTATGGGACACATTTTGTTAACTAGATAACTAACAAGTAAATATAAGATTTACAATAACAATGAGGTTTTTATCCATTTGAAAATAAATTGAGAAGTTAAACAAAAATTTTGTTTCTGATAGATACTTTTATGTATTCATTACGTATTTATGTATTTTTTATGATGCAGCGGATTGAATCCAAGACCGTGATCATGCTCTGCTGCTGAGCTATACTCCCAGCCCCTTGTACATCATTTTAAATTAAGCCATGTAACGTGTCGCTCAAATCAAATTCATAGATGATGTGAGGAGTCTGAGGGCAAGTTCAAGTTCCTTTGGTCCATACATTTGCATGTGCATTTAGAACAATAGTATTGAGATGCTGGGAATACTTAATGATATATAAAAATTTTTTAAATCCATGGATTTTGTTTGACCACTGAGTCAAATTTTTGAACTATATGTTTGGAAAGAGAAAAGTATGTATTGCTAAGAAATAATTGGTCTGACAATTAGCATATTTTTTTAACAAAGAAGTTAGAAAATATGTTATTTATAAAATAAAATAAAGGTTGATTTTAATTGGAACAGTTATTTCAAGATAGAACCTGAGAAAACAGGTTTAACTAGTTTAATTGAATGAAACACCTTATCTGAAACAAATCACATGTAATTTCTATGGATTAAATGTTACTGGCCCAAGCATTTTTACTGTTAGAAAACAATCCAGTTGCAGTTAGAAGAATTAGTGCCAGTAATATATACAGCTATTAGGTAGGTAGTGCTTTGCTTTCCATTTTAGTGATTAATGCTGAGAAAAACTGGAAAATAGCGCTTAGTTTTAAGCATGAAGGGAAATTAGTTGGTATTAGGCAGTTCTTAGATTATACGGCTGATATGAACTGAGATACGCTGTAAGTTTACAATAGAGTACATTGCAAAGACAGGACAAATATAAATAAAGTAGGTAATATTGTATATTAATTATATGTTGAAATGACAATATTTTGTGTTGAGATAAATAATAAATATTGAAATTAATTTCACTTACTTTTAGCCTTTCTAAAATGTTGCAACATGAAAATTTAAAATTACACACATAGTTCATGTTATATATATTCTATGATAGCGCTGGTCTAGACCTTGTATTGAAAAATCTCAAACTTCCTTTAAACCACAACTAAGGAAAAAATTGATTTTTCCATTAATCTAGCCTAGTATATCAATATTCCAATAAAATCAGTTCCTTTCATTATTGTTTAGATTTCTGTGTCAGCCAATTTCTACTTGTAAGCAGGAAAAAATAAAAACAATTCCATTAAGGCTATTGGAAAGAGAATCTGTCCTTAGCACCTAGGAATTTTCGTAGTGTAAGCTTTGGAAGGCTTCTCACTGATTACATGTGAAGCTTTTCAAACTCTTTCGAATTTCCAGTCGTGGATATTGCATTCTGTTGAAGATCTGAAGTATTTCATCACATCTGAGATATTTACTTTAGTTCTTTCTATGTAACATTAAGAAACGATACACTTCCAGAAAAATTATCATGTAAAACTTTCACATCCATGAAATTCTAATTTTCTTTTGACTGAAAGAAATTTTATACTTATTTAGACACTTTGTTATCATATATCCTGATATAACAATATCTATGAACAAGTTTGAGCCTATACAGTGACAACTCCTATTCAACCACCTCCTGGTCCCAAGTGACTGTAAAAATGGCCTTGATTCTAATGTGCCTTCTGCTTTCAGAGATATGAAAAATATGCATCTTAGAATTGATGAAATATGGTAAGTCATTTGTCAAGAGACAAGTATTCCGGAGGGCAGAAAGCCAAACTCTAAGACTTAGTGGCATTGGAGATTGGACATTAATGAAAATAGCTTTTGTACATATTATATTTAGAAAGACAAGCGTGGATCTCGTTGACGATATTATCATACCCCTCTTAAGTAACATTACAGTATATCTTTCATTGTTTGATGGTTTCCCTAGGACTCTGTTACTGGTTTCCTAGCTTGGATTGGGAAGGTTGGCAGACAGTCAGGTTGGGTGGAGCCTCATCTGCAGGCAGACTGGACCAATCCAAACCCAAAATGTGTGGCCTTTCTGTAGGGAGAACCACCTAGCACAGTCTTGGTAAGGCTGTGGCTTCAATGGCTATGTGTGTTCTTTGTAAGTGGGCTGAAATAAGAAGCCTTCTTCTTGTCATGGCTTCATTTAACCTTAGCATCATCAATGTAACCTTTCTTGATGGAAGGGTCTAAGAAGCGGAGTGGAAATTGAGCTGCTTTCCTAGATTTGTTTTATACAGAATTTGAGAAGTTAAGTAAGTTATGTCAGAACACCACCGGAAGTATATTACCTCAAGAATCGATGAAATAAAAGGAATTGTGACACATTTTGATTCTAATGGTTCTCTTGATGGATATGAGATTTATAAGAGGTAGCAAAACCAGAAGTTTTTATAGAAGGAGAGGAATAAGAGAATTGATGACACATTTGTTCACTTGTTCTGATATTTAAACATGATGTGTACCTCTTTTGAAGGTACAAAAACAATGCTGCTTTGCAGGTTTGTGATGAGTGCTTTTGTGTAGGGGCCCGAGTTTAGACGACCTTCTTTCTTAGCTTCAATGCGCCACTGTCACCATCTTGAAATTCATAAGAAGTTTTGAAAAAAGGGTTTCATATTTGAATATCGCAGTTGGCCAGGAGATTATGTAACTGACGCTGTTCTAAAGGAGGCACCTATAAATATAGCATTCATAAGCCACTAGAGCCACCGCTGCTATTGCCAGGAATAATAGCTGCAAAAGAGGTAAAAGGAGCCCAAGCAGTATTATTCATGAGTACTTAATATTAAGTCCTCATTTGTTCATGATACAACTTGGGGTCTCGTCTATGTGTCTGTTTTCTCATCTAAAATATGTCTGTGACATAACACTTGCCCTCCATAACCACAAATCAGGCTAATTTATAGGATCAAATTAAATTCACATGAAGTACTTTCAGATTTGTAAAGATCGAGTCACATGGAAAAGACTATTTATCCACATCCCCTCTGCACACATACCTGCCAACCATGGAGTCTTGGTGGTAACTACCTGCTTGGGGCCCCGGGGGCCTAGCTGGACTCAGCAGTCAGGTTACCTTGGCCCATGACCACAGAGCCGTTATTCTGGAAGATCCTAGAGCCAGAAAATCAGTTCCTTTGAAATCTCAGGGGCCTAAGCAAGGCATGTCACTGCTGTCAGAAGGTCTGAATCCAGGCTGCAAAGAAATTGCAGAAAGGCAGACAAGGAGAGAGTTGGGAAGAGAAGTGAGATAATGAAATCCAGCCTGCAAACATGCTCTGAGCCCCTGGGACGTAGTTACAAGCACTTGTCTCGGTGCCAGGATTGAGGAGGGAGGGGCCAAGAGTGACAGCCACTTCAGATTGACACGTAAATTTTCTCATTGCCCAGAAGGGAATTGTATTCAGAGTTTCCATTGTCTTAAGACAGGAAGCTTTTATCTCAGTGTGTGAAGGAGTTCATTTTCCTGATGGAAAGGTGAAAAGCGTACAGCCCAGACGCTGAGAAAGTCAGAAAATAACAGATGGCTTGAAGCATGCAAGAATGCTCTAGGTGCTGTTTGTGGTGCTTCCTGAGGGTCTTACATAAACAACTGAGGGATTTGGGATAAAATGCAACACAGAAATGAAAATAGCGCTTCAAATGAGGCCACGAAATGAAATGCCAGAAGGTGATTTACAGATCACCTTGGCAATGATTTCTGTTCCCGATGAGAAGTGGTGATCATCACCTTGTTCTACTGACATTTTTCCCTTCTGTGTTGCTGACCAAATGGTCAGTATGTCTCTCTGTATTTCTCAGCCCTGGCCAGGCCCAAGGAATCTACTTAATTTAACCTATTTCTTCATATCAGTAGAGAACTTCTGATTTATTTATGTAGTAAGCAAACAGAATATATAGGTCACATTTTACCTAAGGAAAGCTTTTCCGGGGTACTTCATTTTATGCAAGTATGTTGGAAAATTTTTGTGTATATTAGATTATGATTTAAATTATTCCGTAGAGCTCATTCAAAGGCTCCATGCTGACTATTTTGAAAAGCCACCAATTTACACCGTATTTATTTTTAATAGGCCGGGCATTTAGCTTGATTAGGGTTCGCTTGTGAGATTTCTGTGAGAGAGGAAGATTAAAAGCAGAAAACAAATGACATGGAAAAGGGTAGAAAATTAATTCAGTCATTTGAGATTTGCATATATACATTCATATTCATTCCAGGGTATAAAAGATAGGAAATAAAATCTTTATCTACATCTCGCCTGGTTAGATCCAAGTAGGCAACTTCTTAACTTTTTCTGTAATGTTTCTTCCCCTGTTGAAAAGTGACCTCCTTGCAAACAAATAAATCCAAAAATGACATAAATCCCACAAAGTTAGAAGATGCATTCAAGCAGTGGTTCTGTATCCTGGTATTTGTTCATATGCATGTAGCAGAAAATTCCTACAATAACAAGCTCTCCTTTTAAAATCCTCATGTGGAAAGCAATTAGTGTGACGCTAAGCTAACAGAGAGCTGAATGAGTATCTCAAAGGACTAATTCGCATTCCTTATGGTAGAAGGAGCTATGCAGCGAGATACCTAATAAGATGTCAGCTCTTTGTTATGGGATAATTTTGAGCAGATGCGCATAAGAAAGGAACACATAGATTACAGAGGAAGAAGACAGTTTTGTTAAACCCAAACATTTAGAATCAAGGTTTAGAAAGGCACAACCTTACCAGCTTCCACAAAAAGGAAGGATTTTCCCACTCTTTATTCTGCTTTAACTGATTGTTTATGTATTGACTATCTGGAGCATCGCTCAGCAGGTGTCATTTCAACCAGTCAATTCTTGTGTTGAATACATTTGATAAAATTGTCATCTTTATCTTTCCAGTTATATTATCTTATAAAAATTAATGAAAAATTACACAATTTTTGGTTATCCTGTATTTAAATAATTGGACTGGTAAGTGGGTCATTTCATGGTGGTAAGAAATTCTCCTGTTATCCTGAATAGTAATGCATATTGCACGTCTAACTATACATTGCCTAATATGAGCTGGGTCTGAATTTTTACAAAAAAGTGAAAAATGGCCTTCCCTATCTATGGGACACTTGCTACATATTTAAATATTTGCACACAGGAAGCAAGAGAACCTTTATCACGGCGCTTGCACAGAATCCAGTTAACCTGTCAGGAGTCATCCCCATGTTGTGAAGATAGCAAGCAAATGACTGGCCCTGGCATTTGAACCAGTACACCCAGTGCAGGACAGTAGATGCAGGGACAGAAAAGTGCTTTGCCAGGAGAAAGTCTAGGAGCCTCTTTCCTTCCACCACCTCCTCTTGACCTTAGAGTTGACAGGATTTTGAAGAGTTCTAATGACTGTGCAGAGCTGAGAAAAACCAAAATCACTGAAGACTTTGATTTGGATGCATTTTATGTGTGTTTTTTTTATGTGGCATAAGAAAGGAGAATAGGGATGTGACTGTATAGGAGTGAGAAGGCTCTTTGTCTCCTGGCTGAGATGATACAGTGCATTCGGTTGCATACCTCTGTTGCAAAGTCAGGAGGGAGGCAGAAGATCAGGTAGCTGTATCATTTCCATCATTTTAATTGCTTTGCACCTAAGTTTGCGCTCCAGGTTTAGATTGCAGCAAAGACATAGTTAAACCAATAAGAAAGAGCCAACATCAACCTTCTGATTGGTTCACAGCGGAGACTTCCAGCTGCCTAGCAGCTCGGCTTGACGAGGATGAGTGACGACCTACAGCAGAAGTGGAGCCTGAGGATAAGGATGATGCGTGAGTAGTTAACTTTTGTGCTAAAACAAGTGAGGGTCCCCACTGAACTGGCGGATGTTGAGAGTCTTCCGTCACATCATGAGAGCCTGTGGGGGAGTTGGCTGTTGTGCACAGACATCTGGGTGCAAGTGCAAAGAAGTCTCCATGTGAGAGGCTGGGAAGTGCGGAGGATACTGGGGGAAGCGCTTCTTGACTAGTTGGACAGTGGCAATCTGTTTATGCCTGACTTCGTCAGGGCCAGTTCAGGCTGTCACCAAAGCTTTTTTTTTTTTTTCTTTTTTGAGACAGGGTCTTGCTATGCAGTCCAGGCTGACCTTGAGCTCCCTTTGTAGCCCAGGCTGGTCTCAAACTCACGATGATCATCCTGCCTCAGCCTCCCGAGTGCTGGGATTACAGGCGTGAGCCACCATGCCCGGCTACCAAAGCTTTTTTGAGCTACCTGAAACACTGCCTAAAATCCTTACAGTATTCCTAGACCAAGTAACAGTTACCAAATGTGCCAGTGAAGGAAGGTATCAGGCTCTGCAGTGACTTCATTATGATATAGGAAGATTTCCAAAGGATCTCAGTTGAGATTGAGGACAATAGAAAGGAAGATAAAAATGCAGGTTGAGAAACTCTAATTCAAAATGCTTGGGATTGAAAGTATTTCTGATTTTGGAATATGTGCACAGACATTACTGGCAAGCATCTCTAATCTGAAAACTGAAATACTTCATGTTTTGGAGCATTTCAGATTTCAGAGGAGCAATTCTGAACTTCTGTATTGTTAACAGGTGCAAAGAACTCGGGCTGGGGATATACCTCAGTGGCACAGCGCCTGCCTGGCAAGCACAAGGTTCTGAGTTCGATTCCCGGTACCAAAAAACAAAAATGCTGGGTGTGGTGGTGCATGCCTGTAATCCCAGCACTTGGGAGGCTGAGGCAGGAGGATCATTGTGAGTTCGAG